CCGGGCTGGGTCGCGGACCCACGGGTGCTGCCGAGACGCCAGTGCCGTCTGTGCCTTCAGGCAGGAAGACCCAGGTGGTGCTGGAGGAGAAGCTGAGGAAGCTGGAGGAGGAGTGCAAGCGGCGGGAGGCGGAGCGCGTGAGCCTGGAGCTGGAGCTGACCGAGGTGACGGAGAGCCTGAAGAGAGCCCTGGCCGGCGGCGTCACCCTGGGGCTGGCCATCGAGCCCAAGTCAGGGACGTCCAGCCCGCAGGTGAGCGTCCTGCCCGTGCACAGGGGCCCGCGTCTGTGGATCCCAGCCACCGCGTGCCCATTGCGTGGCTCCGCCGCACTGTGGCCTCGGCTGCCTCGCATCTGAGTCACAGGCCAGGGGCTGAGGCTGTGTCCAGAGCCCTCGGCGTGGTTTCCTGACAGTGGGGACTGTGCCACGCCTCCACCCAGGGTCCCGCTGTCTTCTGCCCCTGTGCCTCTTCCCTGGCTTTAGTCTCCAGCTTGCTCCATCTTGAGCTCATTCCGCCTCAGCCTGCGTCCCCTCCAGTGGCTGCCTGGTGTCCTGCACATCTCCCTGCCCTGCCCCAGGACACTCGGGGACAGTAGTCCTCTCAGCAGCCTGGTTACCCGCTCCCTGACCTGGCGGGCGCCTCCGGCTCTCCCCTCTCGGACTCCAGGAGCCTCTTGCATGGCTCCTGCTGGCTCCTCCTGCAGTGACCCAAGCTCCCGGGTCCCTGTCCCTCTCAGCCTCTCCTGCTCACCCCACACCTTTTAGGCCCCTGAAGGCCTGGGCTGCCATGCTGGCTTTGCAGGCTCCTGTCCTCCACGGGCCTCTCCGAGGACACGGTCACTGTCCTCTGGTCGCTGGGGGCAGAGCATGTCCTCAGCAGAGCGGCCTGCTGGGTGTTCGTCCTCCAGTGCCAGTGGCGTGCTGGAGATCTGGGCTGTCACCAACGCAGCACCTGCTCCCCCAGTCTGCTGTGCCCTTGGGAGCATTTCTTAGGGAAGCTCCATTGGAGCTGAGGAGAGCTGTGCTTGGGGACCTTGGTCAGGGCGCCCCGTGGGGGACAAGAGCTCTGTTCTAACACTAGACCCTGTGCAGTGCATGTGTCGTACCCACAGGGAGGGCTCAGTTCTTGGAGACTCCACTAGGGGGTGCTGCAGGCTGCCGGGACGTTTCTCCAAGTCTGATTCCTCCAGAAGCCACAGGTAGCGCCGTGGTGGCTGAGGCCCCAGGCTGCTCTTCTCCAAGCCCTCCAGAAGCTCCTCCCAGCACGTGCCCAGGGGACTAGAGTGTCAGGCACCCTCATCACTGTCTGCTCTGTGCTCTGTGACCGGGTCCCCGAGCTGGCGCATTAGTCAAGTTCCCTGCAGCTAGGACGCCCACGATTTAAAGGGGGAGAGGTTTAGCTTGGTTCACCCAGAGGGTTCAGGCCACGGCTGGCTGTCTCCAAGGCAGAAGCAGCGCGGCAGAGGGGAGCGGGTGGAGGAAGCTCCTCCTCGGGCATCCAGGAAGGAGGGAGCTGGGGACAAGAATTCACCCTTCCGGGCCACACCCCAGAGCCACCTCCCACCAGGCCCCGCCTCCTGCAGTTCTCCAGAGCCGCTTCTCCCACCCACAGTCCCCTGTGTTCCGGCATCGGACTCTGGAGAACTCGCCGGTCTCCAGCTGCGACACAAGTGACGCTGAGGGGCCTCTGCCTGTGAACAGCGCCGCCGTCCTGAGGAAGAGCCCTCCGGCCACAGGCAGCTCGCCCTGCCGGGGTCACGTGCTGCGGAAGGCCAAGGTGAGGCCCCGGCCCGGCCAGGGCGTCTGAGTGTCCGCCGGGTTCCCGCTGTGTCGGCCCATCTCTCAAGACCGGGTTTCCGGGCTCCTGTCCCGGGCTGGTCTTCTTGGCAGAGTGGACATCGGGCAGGTGGCCCTTGGTCCTTTCCACTGCTTAAGAGCTGTAATTCTTCTGAAAAGAATTAAAAGCTGAGGAATGCACTTTTCTCCCCCCCCAGCCCTATACCCGGCCCCACATACCTGACCCCTGGGTCACCATCAGGAACCTGCCAGCTCCGCGCCAGGCAGTCCTTGATGGCACACTGAGATGCTCTGCCCTGTTAGCCACAGGAGCTCTGGCCTCTCTGAGCAGGTAGTTCCCAGCCATGTCACCCACAGCTAGCTGCAGGGGCACACAGCACAGGAGGGAGAAAACCGCGTGTAGAACGTTCCGGAAGCCTGGTGGCAGCCACCTTTCCCTCTAGACGGGATCCGACGCGCAGCCTCACAGAGTGAGCTTGAGCAGGTGTCCAGATTTCTGGGACTAGGGACAGGGACCCGGCCTTTGACCCTGAAACATCAGTGCACTGCAGACCCGTCAGACTGCTCCTCTAGGGTGTTCCTGGAAAAAGTTCTAGCCTTGTCTCTGTCTGGGCGGGATGAATACCAGAAGTGGGCTTGCCGGGTCCCTGTGCTTTGGCGGCACCCCCGTCCTGCTTCTGTGGAGGCCCAGCGCCCACCCTCTTTGGTCCTGGAGACTCGCGGGTGGTGCTGCCCTGCCCACCAGGCCCTGGCCTTGGGATTTACACAGCTCTCCTTTCTCCAGGAGTGGGAACTGAAGAACGGGACATAGGAAGGGAGGCGGCCCCAGCCCCAGGCAGACTGCACCCCGCCCGGCTCCCCGTCTGCGACAGGTGCTCCCCAGGGTGGCCCACACAGGACGTCCGCGGCTCTGCAGCCAAGCTCTGCCCTGCCACCCTCGCCCATCTGCCCGCGTGTCCTTCCTACTGTAGGACGGTGCCCTTTTGAAAAGTTTACTGTAAGACTTTAGCTTCTAATTTTTCTTGTTCAAAAACAAACAGAAAGGAATGGTGAGTGTTGTGACAGATTCCTAGGCGGATGGACCAGCTGCATCTCCCCAACCAGCTGAACGACTGCCCCACCCCAGCCAACAGGCAGCAGATGGACAGACAGAGACCCCGGGCCCGCAGGAGCCTGGCTGGACCTGGAGCAGCTCCCAGGCCCTGCCTTCTCGTGTCTGGTGTCCCCGTTTGGGCGTGCAGTGTCAGGATCATCAGTGACCACGCGAGGTTGGCTTCTGTGGCCGAAGTGGGGCCGGCGTGGGCACTGTGTCCAGCACCCCATCCACTTCTGCACCCTTCAGAGGGAAAGACACGAGAGCCTTGTGCTGTGAAGCCATTTCTACCTTCTAATTATTTCTTTCTTTTGGACACTTCTGTCTCCAGGCCGTGAAAAGGTGCCATTGTTTTTTAAAATGTCCCTGCCATGTTTCCCTTCCCTCTAACGTCTTCAGGCCCATGTCCTATTTTGTTAGGTATCTGTGCTGCTGCTGCCAGGCAGTGGGGTGCTTTATTTTCCTAGTGCACTGTGCCCAGCCTGGGGCCCATCCCTCCCACTGCTCCCCGCCATGGCGCTGCTCAGGCCCGGCCCCTCACATGCCGCAGTGCTGCTGGCCCGAGGTCCACCTGCAGGACGTCTGTGGGCCGTGGGGCTGGAGCCGGCCCGGAACAGCAGGAGGCAGAGTCTGGGAACTGAGGAACCAGAGCTGGCCTGCGAGGGTAGCCCCTCTGTCCACCGAGGCTGGCACCGCTGCCCCTGTGCGGGACTCCTGCAGCACCAGATGCACAGTGAGCCTGCCCGGGCCTCCAGAGGCGCTGTCAGGGAAGACGTGGCCCCAGCGAGGAAGGGACAGCACCGTACCCGCCACGCGCCTTTTGTCCCCAGCCAAGGTGCTCTCCCCTGGCACAAAGCGCCCCCCTACTGTCCCCAGCGCCGCCCTCCCTCAGGGGTGGTCTCCCTCTGTCACAGGGAGCTGCGGCCACTTCATTCCATAGGAAACTACATTTTTGTAAAGGGAAGAAATTTATAGACTGGAGATTTTTTTTTGCTGTCTTTGGGTCTAATAAAATCCACGAAGCCAGGCTTGTGGGCCAGTCTGAGGGCAGCTGCTCGGCCGAGAGGGTGCCGCTAGTTTCAGGTTGCTCCTGAGAGGAGAGGCGCCAGCCTCAGGCCTAGGTAGACACCCAGGAATTGTCGCCTGTGCTTGTCACCAGCAGTCTTCGGAGGAGGCGGCAAAGGTTCCCGGGGCATCTGCAGTGGCCTGGAGGAAAGCAAGCTCCCGACACAGGTCCTGGGCCCTGTGGGCTCTGATGTTCTCGGATTCGACCAGAAAGTCAGTTTAAAGCATTTGCTTCAAAGTTAAGTTATTTATTTGTATATGTCCCGTAAGTATAGCTTTAATTTATACCTGTACATATTAGACACACGGACATCCTGCCCAATTCTGAGGCTGATCTCGTTTGGTCACCCTCCCAGAGCATATCCCAGCAGTGACCCCGGCCAGGGATGGCACAGGCACCCCTGTGCTGGGGCCAGGCAGGTGGCGGAGGGCTGCAGGGTACAGGGCAGGCTGCCCGGGTCCAGGGTCTTTAAAGCATCACCCGTCACCTTCACAGGCAGCTGTGCTCACAGAGTGTGGCTCACCGAGGGGATGGAGGCCGGGCTTGGGGCTCAGCCCTTCCTGCCACTGTGAGGCACTGGGTCCCTCCCTGGGCTTCTGCTCCTGGCAGAGGTGAGTGGGATGGCACCGCCTGCAGAGCCCCTCCACTGTGTCCTGTGGTTTTAGCTCCCAGACCAACCCCCACGTAGGGCCGCGCTGTCACAGGACTCACTAGCACCCACTTTGACAGGGTTGGCCTAGCTGTCACCCGCCTCGAGAGTCAGCACCCTGCAGCCAGCCGGGGCCAGCACAGCCATCCAGAGCCTTCCGGGAGCCCAGGGCCCTCCCTGCCTGCACCAGGATCCGGCTGTCTCTAAATAACCACACCCACCCAGCTGGCTGGGGTTCCCACTTCAAGGATGCCCTGACCCCGGGGACGGTGCTGGTCCCCAGGGCGGCTCTGCGGCTCCAGGGGGCTTGGGGGGCTCCCCTGCACGTCCGGCACGCTCCCACTAAGGCTGTGGCAACACTAAAATGACAAACCGTTGCCTTCCTCTTTTTTTTTCCTACAATGATTTTTAACGGGAAAGATCATTTCAAATGCAGCATGAGATTTTCAGCAGGTCACTCCTGGTCCTGTTGTTGCTCTGTTTTTATCAACCCCGCGGTGGGCCAGGTACATACTGTGAAATAAACCACACATAAAAGACTAGCGTGTGCGTGTGGGGTGCCCAGCCCCCCCAGGGGCTCCTTGCCCCCTCTGCTGCTGCGATCACAGTGGCCCGGAAAGGCCCACCTCGCAGCTCGGAGTTTCCCCACAGGATCTTCAGATCACAACTCTTAGGGACCAAAGGTGTTTTCAATAAGATCACCCTCTCAATTGATTTTCTAACAAGAAAGGAAATACTCGCTTTACACTTTAACATCAGCTTTTACATTCTAGATATCCAGGATGAATTGCCCTTGGCCATACATTGTAAAAGGTTTCCATATTAACAATGTAATTATTGCCTTATTGTATTTTTTAAAAACTAAAGTCATATTTAACATTCTCTTTGAAAGAAACAGGCAAACAGGAAAGCTTTTTTAAAAATTAAATATGTTGTTCGTGCCCGTTTGAAATGACTATAAATGTCTTCGCTGTCTGTATTTAAGTCACAAAGTAGAAAAGAGACTTTGGGAAAGAGACTTGCAGTGACCCCTCTGGGACAGCTTCACTTGAATCCTCCGCCTTCGGACTGAATTTCCTTCTGTCCTCCGCGGTGTAGCCTTTGACTGGCGCCTGTGGCGCGACAATGCGCGCTTATTGTTAATAAAATGATCCAACCGGGCCTGGTGTCCTGCTGCCCTGCTGCCCTGGCTTGCCCTGCACACGGAAGTCGCTGCAGGGCCTCTTGGTCACGGGGTGGGGTCAGAGGTCACGGGGGTGGGGTCGGAGGTCAATTTCCTTCTGTCCTCCGCGGTGTAGCCTTTGACTGGCGCCTGTGGCGCGACAATGCGCGCTTATTGTTAATAAAATGATCCAACCGGGCCTGGTGTCCTGCTGCCCTGCTGCCCTGGCTTGCCCTGCACACGGAAGTCGCTGCAGGGCCTCTTGGTCACGGGGTGGGGTCAGAGGTCACGGGGGTGGGGTCGGAGGTCTCGGGGTGGGGTCAGAGGTCAGGGGTAGGGCGCTCACCATGGAGAAGCCATGACAGTTCAAGAGCTTTTTAGCCTGCAACTGGAAACATCTGTGCACCTGCCACAGGCTCACCTCTGCCCAGGGAGCCGGGCAAGCCAGGAAGACTGACAGATTGCCAGTGGGAGGACTGTGGTGACTTCTGGGGTGTTAGGAGAGGGAGCAGCTAGCTTTGAGGCCACTGGGTAGGGTTTGCAGCATGGTGGAGTAACTTGAGCAGGGCTATGGGGTTTAAATAGGAGTCCAACAAGGAGAGAGGTGGGGAAGACATTCCAGTCCAAGTAAACAGCAGGCACAGAGGTGGGGGAGGGGAGTGGGCCACTTGGGCAAAGGTGCGCATCCAAGTGTGGCTGGAGATGGGGCACAGGGACAGGAAGGATGGTGAGTCAGAAGGTGGGGAGGGGAGGTGCCGGGACAGCTGGTATCCTCCCCGTGCGCCCCTTCTCCCCTCTCCCTGCCCAGGTAAATGCCAGGCTCCTTCCTGGCTTCTGGTCACCCCGTGGTTTCCCAAGGACCTCCCTGGGAAGCTGGTCCCTGGGCTCAGGTGCTGCACTGCCGCCACCGCCCTCCTCCGCCCTCCTCCCTTCTCCGCTCTCCTCCCACCGCTGCACCCACTTATGGCTCACTCTGTGGACCTAGTGGGCGCCCCGTCACAAGGACGCCAGCCCGAGGGCCCCTACTGTCCCATGCTGGCTCTCTGCCCAGCCCACAGCCCACCCTGCACCACCTTCGGCCCCACCTTCATCCCTGCTAAGGCTGCCGGGCACCAGGGCTCCACCCCAGAGCCCAAGTGACCTTTCCGCGGGCGCCTGGCTGGTGTCCCTCTCCCCTCACCGGCTCCATGCCCTGCCCTCGGCCTGGACTTGGGCCACGGTGCTGATCCCAGAGCCGCGCCGCTGCCAGCGCGGTCATGGAGGTGGTGGTGCCAGCATCGGGCCTGGCACGCGGCAGGCAGAGTGCAGCCACCCACACTGCAACCCCATCTCCTCATCACCCCGCTGGCAGGCACGGTCGGGCTGGACGTTTGGGCCTAACCTGGGGGCCCCACTGCACTCGGGGCTGCTGCCCGCTGCCTGTGAGATGGCGCCAGCCAGTGCCGCCTGGCGCCTGCGCTCACTGCAGGCCGAGCAGGTGCTGGGCAGGGGAAGGTGCCTGGCCCAGGCTGTCACCTACCACTCAGGGCCAAGGGACACAGCCATGCCTGGCCCTACTCAGCTGCGTGGTTCCAGCTGTCTCATCAGGGTCTGAGGGTGGGCGCGGCTGCCATTGCCGGCAGAGGCAGGAGCGTGCACCTCACAGCTGCAGCGGGACAGAGCAGTACGGTCACCCCAACGGGAGCCTGCACTGGTACAGGAGGAGGGCCAGGGCCAGAATGCAGTGCAGGGAGGACGGCAGCGACCAGGGCAGGGCAGCAAGCCCAGGTTCCCACGTGCACAGCGCCTGTGTGCAGCCCCGAGCAGCCTTCCCTGAGGCCGGTGTCGACAGGTTTGGAATCGGTGTCCACACAGTGACAGCCAGGGGCAGGCGGGGGGTGGGGCTACTGTCTTCAAACAGTGTCGTGGGGTGGGCTGCAGGAGCCCCTAAAAGTGAGGGATGCTGTCTCGGGGACCCGCCCCCATGCCCTTAGAGTTTCCCTGCTGGCCCTGGTGGCTGAGTCACCTGTCAAAGGTGGATCCCATGCAGGTCCCCCACACAGGTTCAGTGCCAACTCCACCTACACTGCCTTTGGCTCCAGGCTGGGTCAGGGGCCTTGCTGGGCCTGTGTGGCCACCACGTGCCCACCCTGGTCTGAGATCTCCTTCAAGGTCAAGAGCTCTGAGTCACCACAGGTCCCAGCCCAGGCAGCCCAGGGTCTGCTCAAGTTCAAAGGCCCTGGGGCCACCAGACCGTCCTGAGCTTCTGGTGTTGCCCACCAGGAGCGAGTCCTGGCGGTTGGAGGTGGTGTGTAAGCAAGTGTGTGTGTGTGCATAGGGCGTCACCTCTACCCCACCTCCCTTTCATCCCCACTCCATCCAGGGACCTGCCTCGGGGGCTCCCCGGAGTCCCCTGCATGGTAGGGTGCGTGGAGAAGATGTAGAAAGGACCTTCATGATAAGGCAGAAGCTGATTGTATCCGTTTAATCTTTGTTAAAGGCATCACAAATGATTTATTGATCTTTAAAAAGGAAAAGTAAGAAAGGCTGCTCATGTCTGTTATACGCAGATGCCGAGTATGACCCCACTGGTGGGGACGTTCTGGCCACCCCTGGGGTTGCCGCATTCCCTGGCACCGAGTTCCTGCCTGAGCCCAGGGCCCAGGGCCCCTCCCTGACCACCTGTGAGGCCACAGATGTACAGTGATCGCCTCTATGGTTAAGGAGACAGGGACGACAGGGTCCTGGGGCCACCGCCCAAGATGTTCGGAGCAGAGACCCTGACAAAATACAAGGGACACGGTAACTAGGGCTGGCCCGCGCAGTGGGAGGACCGATCTGTGCTCGGGGGTCCCACGCTCAGGCAGGACAGGCGGGGTGGCCAGCAGGAGGCAGGTCCCCCCTCCACCTGGCAGGGGACAGGTGGGCGGTCCAGGGCGGGGTCCCCAAGTCCCAGTGGCCCCTCCCCACGGAGGACGCCCACAGGGAGGCCACCCAGGGTGGGCAGTGGTGGGGAGGCGTTGGTGCACCGGGCTGCCCCCCACCAGCTGAGTGCCCGCTGTCCCTGAGTCCCGTCTGGACCCGGCCTGGTTCCAAGGGCCCCCACAAGGCAAAGGCGCAGTGCCCAGGCACTGCCCGGTGAGATCGTGGTCCCGGGCACCCACTAACAGGCCACGCCTCTTCCTCGGGAAAACAGATGCCAGCCAGGTACTAGCCTGGGCCCTGGCACAGCTACCAGAGGCCCTGGCTGGAGAGGGGGTTGGGAAGGAAGGGGAGAAGGAAGAGGCGAAGAAGCGGGGAGCGGACGGGGAAGATGCTGACTCCAAGGCAAAAGGTGAAGTCCCGCTGTCTGTGTCCCTGCCCAGCAGCCTGAGCAGCGGAAGTGTCCTGCTTGGGGGGCAGGGAGCTGGTTCTGGGGCCACCCTTGCCACAATCTTGCCACGACCTTGGGAAAGCTGCCCCTCTTTCACCAAGAGGGGCCTGCTCCTGGGGCCCTCAGCTCTGCCCCCATCCTAGCTGGGTTCTACGGGCACCCCAGCTGTGAGCTGTGCAGAGACCTGGGTGCCCGGGTGCACTAGCCCCTTTCCTGGTTAGCTGGCTCTTCGCAGCTCAGGCTGGACAGCCAGGCTTCAGGAGGGCACCGCCTGCTGGCGGGAGTGGGAACTTCAGGCAGGGGTCCTTTCACCGGGCCCCCAAACCCGCAGGGGACACCGGGGACACCAGATGGGAAGCGCTGGGTGCTCTGGAAAGGGGGTTCTTGAGAATGTGGTTGACAGAGCCACCCAGACGGTGACTGCCTGGCCGTACAAAGAAAGATAAAGGGAGCCCCGGTGAGAACCGCTGCCTAGAGAAGAATTTACATCATCCGCGGTTGCAGAGGAGGGACAGAGGCAGAGGCGAGGAGGTGGCCCAGCCCACGGCCGCTGGAGCTCAGGGGGCGGGAGGGAGAGGTCAGGACAGCTGTGTGCGGGCCCACCGAGGCCTGTCCAGGGTGGTGGGATCGGCTCCCTGAGCGTCCCGTGGCCTGGGTGGGTGTGGGCTGAAGAGGGAGGGGCGCCCGTCCCGTGGGGGAGCCGCGGAGGGGGCCTCTGGGCAGGTCTGGGACAAGCTCGGGCTGCAGGAGTGGTCTGCGCCCCTGGGGGCGGCGGAGGAGCGCGGCATCAGCTCACCAGGTAACTGTGCATCTCGCGGGAGTTGATGCTCAGGACCACGCCGGAGTGGTTGCCTAGGAACAGAAGAGGTGTGGCCATGAGCATGAGCTGGGGAGGGGCCAAAGCAGGCCAGAGTGTTGGCCTCCACCGCACATCAGGCCAGCAGTGTGTAGTGGGCACCACGGCTCCTGCAGCCTGTGCTGTATGGTGGGGGCAGACTGTGGGGTGACTGAACAGGGTTGCGCCCAGTGCCCACACAAGCAGTGGACCCGAGGGAGAGCTGACCGGTGAAGCCCGGCACTGACCTGCAGCAGGCAGCAAGGGGGCCTGGGAAGGGCTGCAGCTGCGCCCCCTTCTGGCAGGGGCTGCTGCGGGGAGAGAGGGTGGCAGGGCACCTCAGAGACTGCTCATGGGGGCCCAGGCCACAGGGAGCGCGTGGGCCCAGAGTTGTTCTGCGGGGTGCCCCCAAGCTGTGGAGAGGCGCAGTGCCTGGCATGGCCGGGTCCAGAGAGGAGCCAGGCTGCCCAAGAGGGTTCCCGGCAAGTCCCTCGTCGTACCCTGAGCCACCACCCGGAAAGCAAGGTCACCGCGGAGGTCTTCAGAAGGCCCACTGCGGCTGACCTCCTGTGCTCATGCCTGGTTATTTTAGGGGCTTATCAGCCAAGCCCACTTCCTGGGTCCCCGTGGGCTGTGACCCTGCCTGCAGGAGGGGCCTCCCTACTCCATCCTAGCAGGGATCTCAGGGCCTCTGAGGTGCGTAGGACCCATGGAGGCCCGCAGGGGGCGCACACCCACATGTCTCCAGCCCAAGTCCCTTCCCCACTTGCTGGGAGGCAGAGGTGGGCAGCCAGCCTGGTCGGTGCCACCTTTCAGCAAGGGCGGCACCTGTGTTTCTCCCCAGGGTAGCATCGGGGGCACCTCGGCCCGCCAGCAGGGTGTGAGCCTGAAGCCAAGTGCTGTGGAGGCCACTTCCCCGGCTGCCCGCAGTTTGCTGGCCACGCTGTGGGGACCCAGCCACAGAGGGGCCGCCGGTGCTGACTGCCGGGTACAGAGGCTTCGAGCCGCGTGGTTGGACGGCGCTGCCTCCCGGGCAGGGCCGGGGGGAGAGGGACGGAGGTGAGGACGCTGTGTGAGCTGTGAGTGCCATGTGCGCCTGTGCGACACACGCGTGTGAACACTCGGTGCCCTGGGATCCAGGGGGCAGGGCTGGGCTCCCTGAGGAGGCCCGGCCTCCCTGCCTCTGCAAGGCCGAGCCCGGCGCCCCCAGCCCCTGCGGCCAGCCTCACCCTGCACGGCGGCGCCCGGCACGTCCTCGCCGTGGCTCACGGGGCTTGTCATCTCCTGCTCCTTCTCATTGTGCATCTGCGCGTACACCGTCCTGCCTGGGCGTTTCCTGCGGGCACAGGGCACTCGGCTCAGCCCTCCCCCAGAAGCCGCGCTGCTGCTCCTCTGCCTTCCATGGCCGGCAGCTGGGAGAGCGACCTGGGTACTCGGAGCTGCCTGGGGTCCTGCCGGCCCCTTTCACTGTGCAGGCCCAGAGCTCAGGCGGCGGACACCGGCCTCACGCAAGGCCGCACTCAGGTCCAGGCATGGCAGTGGGGGACAGAGACTCAGGCCTAGGAGCAAGGGGTCTGGGCTCCCACCCCTGGAGGGCTCCAAACCCAGGTGGGTTTTGGGGGCCCAGAGGCCCACCAGATGGCCCAATGCGGACTCGGGACCAGAGGCCTGGGCTCTGATGTCCCCACCCCCCGCTGGCCTGGGGGGTCCCTTGATGGTTGTGTGGCTGCAGGGAGGGAGCAGATGGGAAGGGGCATTTCTGGTTGGGCACTTGGTGGAGGGCTGTGTCCTTCACTCAGGAGGGGCTTTGTAGGGTGATCTGAATTTGAGGTACCTGCAGGAATACCCAGGTAGGGCTCTCGGGAAGCCAGGGCCTCCATGAATTTGGCAATCAAGAAAGGCCACAGCCTGGATCCTACTGCAGTCCCTCTATGTAGCAAACTCATATTCATCCTTCAGGGTCCCACTGAGAAATCCCCTCCTCAGGGAAATCCTCTGGATCCTCCAGCACAGCTGAGGCCCTGTGACAGACTCAGAGCACCTCAGGCCGCCTCTGTGGCTGCAGCCAAGTCAGAAAGGTGGAGACAGGCTGTGGAGGTGCTGCCTGGGTAGCTGAGTGAGCCCTGTGTTCCAGCAGTGGGACCACTGTCCCACATGGCAGGCACATGCATCATGACTGCAACCAGGACCAGCAGTGCACAGGGGGCAGGAGAGGACCCGGGGTCTCGGGGCAGCGTTCTTGGCTCAGACTGGCACACAGAGAGGGTCCCCTCGGGGCGGCAGATGGGCCCTGCAGGGGGCTCAGCGGGAGGGGACAGCGTGTGGCAGGGATGCTTCCCAGGCCCCCGTCCAGGTGAGGTCAGCGTGACCGGCCCTCCAGTGGCCCGTCAGTCCCGGGTTCCCTCCCACGACCCCAGGGGTCCCAGCCTCAGG